GTTCAATATTTTCATTTCAGTATATTCAGAGATAGATAAATAACGGATCCATAAAGCCAACAAATATTAAATTATTTATTGTTATTTAGAAAATATTTCGACACACTATTCAAGCTAGCATTTTCTGTGGACAGGATAAAATTCAAGAATTAATTTTGCCATCAATCTTTTCCATGTACAGCAATGAACTTGACATTTATACAGACCGTCAAATACAGAAAAAACCAATAAAACTATTTAAATTTGTCCATTTTAATATATTGTACTTGTAAGTTGATGTGTAAGATGATTAATATTATGTTAGAAATAGAGGTTATACATTTGTATTAGGCAGAGGTTATATATTTGTAGGTAGAAGCCATTTGTTAGATTGTAGAATTGAGGAATTGTTTATGCTTGTATTAAATTTAAAATATTTGAAATCAATGTTATTATTTTTATTGCAAGTAATTTAGAGGATTATGAATTCAAAAGGTTTAATATTTATAATAAAAAGAAATTACGAAGTAACAATTTTTAATTTTTAACAAAATTTAAAATATAAACTCAAAGTTCTTAAAATTGCTCTTTTAAGTTGTATTCTACAAATTCTCCTAGAATATTGAACAATGCCTTTCCAGACAAATATTTAAATGTATCCCCAAACCGTTGTAAAGCCGAAGACTGAACTTCGAATGGCCGCTTTGAATACGAAAGCAAGTCAAAGATTAATTGGTTTGCACTAGGATAATGAAGTAGGTGGCAGCGGCTGCCGTCAGCGGCCCCAAGAGACGCAGATCCAAGTCGAAGAAGCCGCTGGCGGAGAACGTGACGGGGCAGGCGGCTACTTCCTGCGCGAAATGCTTGACCTCGGCGGCCAGCGCGCGCCGCGTCGGCGCTCCTGGCTCTTCCAGGCCGGCGGCGGCGGCGGTTCGACGGCCAGCCGCAGGCGGCGAAGGCGAGGCTCGAGCCCCGCGGCGCGACGCGCGGCCAAGTGACAGCACGCCGCGCCGAGCAGCAGCTTCACGGATGCGACGAGCGCGTGCACGGCCGTGTACGCCGTCAGGCTGTCCCGGCCCGCCGCGATGCGTTCCATGGAGGCGAGTCGCAGCGCGAAGGAGATTGCGTTGTGGCTGGAGGTGATGATCGCGAGGAAGCACGTGCACACGCTCGCTAGCAAGTACGGCCCGAAGGCGCGCTCCACCCGCGCCGCCAGCTCCACGAGCGTCATGTGGGCGTGGCGAAGGGAACGGAGGTGCTGGACGGCGCGGACTCTGCATTGGGCCTTCCCCTCCCCTGGATCACTTGTGGGCCACGAAACAACCGACAAATTGTCACTAATGGATGCTAAAGATTCTTCAATCCACGTGTACTTTTGCCAGATGAACAAAACGCACCCCAGAAATAAACTCAAAAAGAACAGATCGACCATGTATAGGAAATGATAATAAAGCATGGATACAACGCAAAAAGTAAAGCAGTACAGATGCGCATGCGGCCTCCAAACTGTGAAATCAATGTAAGCGTAAAGAATTTCAAATAAAAAGAAAACGGTAACAGCGGAATAGAAAACAATGGTCCCTCGCGCGTATGGGTGTGGGTGAGCGCGCGTTGTGTTCAGGGTCGCATCCAGGTGCGGTGCCGCGCTCTGATGCAGGAACGTCACGAGGGATCTCGCTCGAGAACTGCAGAGCAGAGCAACGGCGTACACAACGCCATAAGCGGCGAGTTCCGTTTGGCCCAGCACAGTGACGTAGAGTCCTGTAAGGCTGTCCGAGTAGTAGCTGCCTTTGACGTAGATACTGACCATCATCGCCAAGTGCGACACGAGAACGCTCGCCGTCCAAACCGAGAAGCAGAGAGATGTTTGGGCGCTTGAATGGCAGTTGGTGACTCGAATCGGCAACCCGAACATTTGAAGAAGAAATATCAGTGGGCGACTTGCCGTGTGAAGGTCGCTGTTTTTATTAACGGTCGGTAACCTATAAGTATTAAAATATTTAATACTATAATGTTCTTCCATTATTTCATACACTTTTGGTTTACTGTTCGTAAAATCCTTTTTAATGACAGGAAATTATGTTATATTGTTGCGTGTTTTCTTTTAAAAATTGCAAATATTTTCTAATAATTTGACTTTTTTGTGCAATCAATTATTAGCTTCCTGACATTAATGAACATCATCGCATAGACACTTAATAACTTTTACTTATATTATTAGTTTTAATTTCATTCGTTTTATTTTTAAAAGCATTATCGATTTTAAAAGCAACATAGCAGGAAACTTAACGTACTAAGTATATCAAGTAAAATATAACATGAATGTTTAACAACCAAGCATGATTATAAATGAAAAAGTATTTATAAATTTCAGAAAAGAAGTGTGTATATTAAGTAATACTAACCCATTCCACGAAATTCGCAAATGTAACATTTTCAGTATTAATGTACGGACGAACTACAACAGATAAAATATCGTTAATGATAACTAGATATAACTGTGTCTTTCGAGTATAAATAATGTATACTGTCGCTCACGTACGAACAATATATTAGAGTATACTACCAGCTCAACTGGATTAACAGTCATAATTGTCGATATATTGAAGATCGAATGTGGTACCTAATCAATGGAAAAACATTCTCTATAAGCACGTATTTCTCCTGACGCTTTTAATGTGATGACATTTTGCAAGTCACATTGAGAGATCCTAAAGATGGTCGTATTCAAATTTCTCAATCAATAGTATTGTTGATCTAGAGGGAAACGCCTTTCAGCTAAAGAATAAGCCTTGTCGTAGTAACAACAGTGGGAAGGTCTTTAATATTATTTTCATTTTAATTTATTACGTCTTTTATAGGTAGATTAATTAAAATGCAATGCAATTATTAAAGTAGTGTAATTAAATATTTGAAAAATCTTCATGAAAATGTAGACAAAAGCAGCATAGCAACTTTATTTAAATACTACTTAAGAATCCTTTTCAGGAAAAAATATACGTGCGCTTACACTAAACCCCACATGAACTTCAGTAGTTATGAAGGACACGGAAGCTGGCAGTTTTAAGCCACATCAGACCCAATGGAGTGACAAGGCAAAATGTGTCGCATTTCTGACTATAAATATGAGGAATCGACAAGTCACTTTCCTGTATTACTGTAATTTAATGTCAAATGTAATACTTCTTGCAGAGAAACGAACTTTTAATATTTGCCGAAATGTGATATAGGACGTAAATTTTAATATTTGATTTTATATCTCCCTTAAACATTCAATGTTATAAAATGAAATGCGTCATTACAAATGCATAAGACCATTCCTAAAATAAAATGTATTTGATAAATATGGTTAGAAAAACTATTTTAGAGATCATTATTTACTCGTTTCTTGGAATGTTCTTGCTTATAAACCTAAGCACACTGAGTTGCCAATAGGTTTCCTGCATCAGTTAGTGCTGTAACTGGGTTGAAACGTCGTTTATCTTTTTTTAGTAGTTTCAAATAAATGAAATATATTATTAAAGTCATATTTTAAGGGGAAACTAAGATTAACCCGCCATTACCTGCGCATATTTGTAACGCTTTGAATGGATCAATGACCCCCATCTCGATGAGATTTTTGTCCATTTTCCCTGATCCATTGAGCAAATGCTGAGATAGCTCCTTGGTTTGTTTCTGGACGTAAATGTAGCTTCTCTATGCGCACGTTTTGTTGAACTCTCCTTTTGCTTGTAATCGTAGGAGTACAGGTAAGAGCGAGTTACTGTTTTGTTCACAATGCAGAAAATCAAACTTGCAATTCGTTTACCGATGCAAATAAGCTTTCTATGACTCGGAAACAAAAATGTATATTTTTTTAAAATATTGCTAACCTCGCCCTTTTTTAAAATTAACCCTTTGTTAAAATGACGGGAAGGGATTCTGGAACTCATGAAAACGTGCGCAGGTAATCTCCCTCATACGTCACATGCAGTTTTTACCGTTTTTGACTAAATAAATCTAAATCTAAACCTATTCACGTGTTACATTTTATCTAACAACTGTTTATTTTTATTTATTGTTTTACTGTGAATCAATTTCGTGCATCAATATTCCGAGATATTTGTTATTGTGTTCTACAACTTGTATAGATGAAATTATGCCTAAAAATGATATGCAGGCTCATAATTTTTGTTTATAATAAACACTTAAATCAAAATCACAGTCGTGAATAAAGTATCATGTAATGGAAAATTTATTTAAGAAAGGCCAATCATTGAATACAATTATTGCAATAAACAATATAGCTTTACCACAATGAAACATATAGAAGAATTTACGAGCTAAAATATACTCCATTAGAACGATATTCATTGCAAAAAAAAGTCAAACTTGGGTGTTCTTTTGAGAGCAAATATTACAACAATGCCGCGTGAACCAGGTTTGCTTCTTCGGACAAGGAACGCATCTTCTTTTCTTCCTTGGTTGCTCCCGATATACCTTTTTACTCTAAGAAGAAAACAAAAATAAGTAAAAGATATTGCAGCGTAGGGATGGCAGACCATATTCTTGCTAAATCTATGAATCTTACCTTTGATTTAAGGTAAAAAACACGATCAAGTTGAGACTATTAACTTTTCTGATTTTTACGAAAGTATTCAAGAAATAAAAGAGAGTGAATAACTCTCAAAAGAGTGGATGTGATAATCGTATCAAAAGATAAAACGGTTGCTCGCGCGTGGGAAAATATCTAACATAACGCGTCGCATCAATCAGCGCCATGTCATATTGTTTCCCTTCGCAGAACTGCTGCAACTATGAACTGATGTTGAGTTGAATCGTGAAGAACGGCATTGCTGGAGAGTTATCTCCGAGTGTTGAAAGATGTCAATAATATTTAAATAAATCCAGAATTGTTAGAGTTTTTTCTAACAGTGAGAGTAATGGAAGGTTAAGAGATCAAACCTAAAAGATATCTAGTAATTACTTTGAACAAGCACAAGAAAATACGTAGCCACAGCAGCTGAAAGAGGGCCGAGCAGATGCAAATCCATCACGAAGAAACCACTAGCCGAGAAGACCAGTGGGCATTCCGCCACTTCGTTAGCAAAGTGTTTTACTTCCGTGTAGAGCCTGCAGTAGATCGGGTGATTAGACTCAACCGAGTGATTCGTTCCTGGCGGCAACTCAACGGCAAACTGCAACCTCCTGAGACGCAACCTCAACGCATCCGCTCGACTCGCCGCCAGGTGGCAGCACGTTGCCACCAACAGCAACATTCCAGAGTATTCGAGACAGTAACCCGAGGTGTAAACCACCATTCCCTTTCGGCCCTGGGACACATGAGTCGTAGAAGGGAGATACAAGATAAGCGCGATCGCGTTGTGAGCATACGTTACTACCCCGAGAAAGGAGGAGAGGGTGATCACTACTAAAAAGGGCCCGAAGCTGTGGATCACTAGGGAGGACAAATCTACCAACTTAAAATGTGCTTCACGCAAACACCTCATTCGGTCTGCTGCCCAGTGCCTGTGTTTACTCCCATTGCTCACTAAAACGTTTAGCGATTTGATGGATTGCGAGTTTGGTATTAGAGATTCGATTGTTACCTTCTCGTGTAGGTCTTTTAAAATCTCATGTATCCACTTGTATTTTTGCCAAATATACATAACACAAGCTAAGAACAAACTTTCAAAAATAATCCCATTAATGTGAATAAAATGGAAATAAAGTAACGCAAAGTCGCAAAGTAAGTAACAATCATTAATCTGTGGTTTCCATACAATAAAATCAAGTACGATCATAAATATCTCTAAAAGGAAAATTACCCCTAGTGAAGAATAAAGAACGACACTTCCTATAAAATAAGGTCGGTTGAAAACATGAAGCGAACACAAAGTCTCGTCAAGTTGTGGAATAAGTTTATTAAGGGTGGATTTCAAAAGGGTCCTTACACGCCAACCTGATAACTGAACAGACAGAAACAACACAGCTTGAGAGGCGAATGTCACTCTTGACAAAGTGGTGACATTGGGAGGTAAACACTTGTCAGAGAAGTATCCATTGGTTGCAAACACCACCGCAACCGCGCTCACGTGTAGAATGAGGCAAGCGTTCATCCACAGGGAGAGGAGGAGATCTGCTCTACCGCAAGGAAGTTTTCTGGGGACTAGAGGAAGACCGATGAGTTGTAGAAGTACCAACAATGGTTGAGAAGCAGCTTGTAAATTGCTGCTTGTACTCATGTTTTCGAATCTGAAATAAATTGTAAAATTATATCACAATAATTCGAACGAGTTTCATTGTGCAAGACGATTTAAAAACGCCATTTCCAAGGTCATGATTACAGTACTTTTTTTTATTACGAAGTAAATGCGAGAAAGTGATGTCGGTTAATAGTCGTGTCACAATTTATTCAAATTCCTAATAGCGCGTTCCTTCAACAGAAATAAATCATCGTCACTTCTTTTCTCAATTTTTCGCATAAGAGAGACGTCGTCTTACAATATCATATCTCGGCATGAAACATTGTAATGGAAATGCAGGTTTAAATTGCTATTTGCACTCGATAGAGTCAAATTTCCGTCGTCCCTTGCTGACAGCCAAACCTTTCATGACGGTTTACTTCTAAAAGTCGATTATTTGAGTGAAGATATAATATTGCGTATAGATTATTAGCTTTTTAAATCCAGTTGAATATTGAGAGAAATTGATAAAAATTTGATCAAAAAGAATGCCTTTTTAAAATGTCTTCGTTTCTTTTATCTAAAAATATATACTCGGAGATACAAACACTGAATTCATCACCAAAATTTATGACTGGGTACAAGTTGCGTGTATTCACTACTTTTGTAATACAGGAAATTTGTATGCTATTTTCTTGCACTATTAACCTTCCTCGTCATATTGGAGTTCAAAACTTCTGTATATATCATTTTATTCCTGATGATATGCAAACAATACTTTCCTAAAATGATCCAGACGAAAACAGAAGACAACAAATTAAATCTAAATTTACTTAATTTTCAACACGGTCGTGATCAAAGTAGGAAGATACGTTTTCAAAAAAAAAACGTATTTTCAACCTCGTATCAAAAATTTATTATTTGAATAACTTACAAATAATTAAATATTAATTTCATTCACCTGAAAATTAGATTTTATTGAAACACATTTCAATTTAGAGATACGATGAATCGATAGTTTTAATTCATTCTATCATATAGAAAAAAGTTTTTAAAATAAGTAATGCACACAAATCAGCTTACCTTTTCATTTCAAGTGTTTTAAATGAAACTGTGATGAAAAATGAAGCAATGTGCATTAGAGAAATGGTTATAGTTTGTAGTAAATTATTCATTTACAGACATTAAGGTACAAAAGCATTTTCTAATTAAATGGAATAAATGTAATGGATGAAAAGTTGTGATCAGAATACAAAGCGTTATAAGTTGAAGTGACCGATCTCCATTTGACTAATTACAACGTTGAGTGTTAGCACTCTTTTCTAGTCTTCTGTCAGCTATGTAATTACCAGAGCTGATTGGGACCAATTGGTAGATTTTATTTTTTATGCATCTCCAGTTTACTTTACAAAGTAGTTTGTATCAATGAAAACTAGATTATTAGCTACCTTTTAAATTACTAACTTTATGTATTTGTTTCCTTCGTGAAAAACTGTCAATCTTATAGAGCCCTTAAAAGTCATCAAGTGAAGATGTGACAACTAACCTCACAAGTAAGGTTGGTCGGCTTAGATGTTGGGTTAGGTTGGCACTAACTTGTTGTAGATTGGAACACTACTTCCCTAAGGATGAACAGTAAAATATCAATACAAAAAAGAGTCATTTTCAATGTTTTTACCCAAATAAATGCGAACACGTTTTTCACCGTTTAGTCTTGCAGAATAGCCTCACAAAGGTAACTTCAGCAATCATAGTAATTTCGGATTACTTTATATATAAGTATAATTATTCGACATTTATCGCTTTTTAATGAAAATGCTTCTTTACTGTTTTCGAACAATGTCAGGTAACTAAATTTAATTGTTTCAAGCCAAATATAATTTAAACTGACGATATATCAGCAAGGAAAGGTTGCATGTTTGATCAACGTTGCTTTTAAAATTACAGTGAATTAGTATTCTTAGTTGTAATATGTAAATTGTAGTGTTCTGCCACCAGGTTCTATACCTACCTGCAGAAATAATAAAAACCTATCTACGTAACAATAAGAGAAAAATAAATTTAAAAATAAATGAATGATATATTTTTATGAATATAGTAAACCACCTGCTGGTAATGCAATTTCCCTGTCATGAGTCCTTTCATGACCGTTAAATTCAAATCACCCTTATTGTTCGAGAAAGGACAAGAGGAAAATCCAATCCTCTGAAGCCAAATATAACTTAAACTTACGATTGATTAGCAAGGCAATGTTGCAGGTTTGGTCAACAAAAAAAAGAAAAATTAATTTAAAAAAATAAATGAATGATATCTCTTTATAAATATAGTAAACCACCGGTTAATAATACAATTTTAGAGCCCTTTCATGATCGTATAATTCAAATCGTCCTTATTGTACGAGGAAGGACAAGAGGAAAACCCAATCCTCTGATATGAATGCTCTTTTGCGCCCCAGCTCCGACGGGCAGGGCATTGTTGCGACTTCTACACGGAATGTAGTCGACCTCGTATGTGCCACCCGCTCTTGTCATCTCACGAACAAAGGGAACTGCGCTCAGCCCTCTGCCCTGCCGTGCAATGGATAAAAACACGGGCCCATAGCACACTACCTATCTTGATATTCATAAACGATTATGACATTTTTAATTCACATGTTTCTGCATTTGAAAAATATGTCATAAATGACTGGAAACATATTTTTTCAAGTTGACGTTAAAATGACAACAAAAAAGACCACATCAAGTATAAAATTTGAAAACTACAAATTAAAGGCTTCTCATTGGCTTAAAATTTGCGGAATGTGGAACTTATAAACTTCTATTGCTAATGATTAGAACAGAGATAATTTATCTTCCTTTATTTTATTTTTAAAGACGAAGCAATAACATCTTTTTAACATAATTGGTATTGCAATAATGTAAGACTTGCTGAACCTGTGCGATTAGATCGCACACCAATAAGTGCAGTAGAAATGTAATGGCAGAAAATACTGCATATCCATGAATATACATTGTGGTTTATATTAACCAACATTTTTACACATATATACATAGATATTATTTTTCCCTACAACAGCAAATCCTATTGTAGAATTATAACTGTTCTATAAGCTGTTATAATTATTAATCATGTACAATCATAAAAATAATATTAAAGTAAATTTATAACTTTATCTTTAAAACTTTTTTTACAAAGCGCTGAATTCCAAAGCTTACAACCTGTAACCAAAATAATAACATGTCCCATTTTGTATACAAAAGAATAACAACAAATACACACATTTAATAAAATTGTATATTATTTAACAGTAAACTACAAAATGTTTACAAAGTGAATATAAATAAATACATACATTAACGTGGATATAAATAGGTAACTAGAATGTAGTCAGCACCAAATAATCATTGGTTTTATACAATTTGTGTGATCCAGCTTTCAAAAGAATGGTACCTCAACCCAGTAGAACAAATATGAATGCTGCAGATAGGATACTTATAAGTCAGATTGGAGGATAATTATGAAATATGTAACACCTGTGACGAAAAGAGATGAAAAGAATTTTAAATTCAGTTCAAAAAATCCGCAAGCTGAAAACTTCAATGGATGAGCAGCGACTTCGTCAGCAAATCGTTGTAACTCGTACGAAAGAAGCACTCTTTCATTCGTCATACACATAAACGAACAAGATGTGCACAGGTTGTCAATTTGGAACTGAAATCGGCGTAAACGTGGTAAGAGCGCAGCTGCACTAGATGAAGCAACATGACACGAAGCAGACATAACCAACACGCGAACCACCAGCGCCATCGTATACGTCAGATGAAAGAAGAATAATTGTTCTCTATTTTCGGTAACCTTATTAACAGAATTCAATGATAAAATCAATGCGAATGTTGGGTATAGTGACTGAATTATCCCTAAGAAGCTTGTTACTGTATTTGCAAGTAAAAATAATGCAAATCCGTTAATTAATTTATCTGATAACTTAACAAGAGAAAAATGTGCATTTCGGAGACGATTTATTATGTTTTTAAATCTTTGGACATGTTTGTAATCCAGATCTGCAGGGAACACTTTTGTTTTTAAAGTACTTTGCCGAATTTGTAAAATTTCGGATTCCAAGTCCTCCAGAAAATCATTCAACCATTTGTGCTTATGCCAAATAAAAAGTCCACATCCGACAAACAAAAACTCAAACAAAAGTACAATACTAAAAAGAAAATAAAAGCACATGGTACATGAGAAAGAGAGAAACGAAAATGTTAGTTGAGCCGACGGTCTCCACACAAATAAATCGACGATCGCAAAATATGTGTTCAACACGAGGAAAAACATTAGTACAGAGTAAAAAACAATGCTTCCTTTTGCGTAAGGGAATGTTCGCTGTCTGCGTCCCATGAGAAACGTCTCAAGATTGTGGACATCCGCCGACATCACTGACTCCAGAATCGGCGTCACCCGCAGGCTAGACCAGGTCATCGCAATGCCCGTTAACCCGTGACTGACGACAACACACGTTTCAAGCAATCGCATATTGTATCCCAGAACGTTTTCGTCTGAGAAGCCGGTTGATAATGTGGCCCACAAAAAAATCACTGAGGCGTTTACTGCAGCAAGACGGACAAGTCTTTCGATAGGAAGAGAGCGCCAGTTGTTTTGACTGATATTAGCAGGTGCAGGCAGAGCCTCATCAAGTTTGGATGGGCCTAAACCCCAAAAATGGAGAATGGTCAACAGCGGTCGAGCTGCTCCCTGCACATCGCGAGCTCCTACGCGATCCAACAACCTGCAGGGAAATCAAAAGTTGTCACTGACTCCCCAATTAATACTTTAATTAACATTTAGTTAGTGCCAACATGGTATTTTATGGTGAGTACTCCTAGGAAACTACGATCAAGTAGATAATAAAATAATAATGATAATAATAATAATAATAATAATTTCATTAAACATCAGAAAATGCGATATAGTCTTGTGATACAGCCAAGGTACCAGAATATAAATAAAAATGATTACTCACCAATTCCACATTTCAATTATGTCTATGCCCGAATTCCTTCAAAATCACTCGTTGATAAGATTTCCAAAAATTACGTGAGATCAGAGACGTATGAATACTCGAAAACTGATCAGCAGAACGTACTATTTCAAAACATATGAAATGGTTTTTGAAGTAAAATATTTTCATTTCTATAATTGGCATGCCTAATTGACAGTTGAATCAATAGATATATCTAGTATCAAGAATCCAATTTGAGAAATGCATTTTATGGTATTTCTACTGATTGATGTGTAATCTCTGAAGTGAATTATTGTAATATTGAATTTCCTTTGCTCGAATATTTAATAGCTATTCTCCCGTCGTATCGTTGAGCACTTTACTAATAACGATGCAGCTTTCAATCTCGATAAAATGATTAAGTGCATGCGAAAATTAGAAGGCAAGTAGTAGTCAAAGGAAACTTCCAGACCCGGCACTGTTCTAAGTTCTTGTGTCAGACACTCCTCTGGCCCCACAATAAAAAACTGAGAAGGCGACTGTAATAAGAAAATTACATTAAGGTCTTAACTCGCACCGGAAGAGGTGGCTCAGTGCATCAACTGTTTTCACTGCAGTGCCACTGACCATGTGATCCTAGGTTAGAGTCCCGTCAGTGACAAGATTTTCGACACTTGTTTGTCGGGTAGGTCGAATTCAGTCGCTGTCGGGAGGAGAATTCTAGCGGCCGGCTGTTCCGATCAGTATTTTCCGTGGTATCTCCGGCCAACACCAGGTGAATGCCGAAGCAGTACTATAACAAACGGGCCACGGCCCGCGTGCGATCTTTCCTTCTTCTTCCTTGTCATATTCTCACCCTTTACACACACTGACACTAACATGCCCTACACTACCACACACTGCCGGGAGGCCGGTCGAGAGCTTAGCGCATTTCCCGACCGCTGTCTTGCTGGTCGGAGAAACATGGTTGGGGGGAAACCCCGCTAGCCGACGCTAAATCTATCCAGATCTCGCCATCCAGCGGAGGAAGCTCACCGCCACCTCCTGAGGAAAAAAGGTGCACTACCTATACGGAACTAATGACCTCCGTAGTTGACGCACCCAGAAACACTATCAACCAACCAATCATAATTCGTTAAAAATTATTGTGAAGGTAACGGTTAATATTGGTCTATGACAAAAAGAAATAAAAATTTTGAATGTGATTTTGAATTTGTTCAATACTGGTGTATTGTAATATCGAAAGACCATACCATTCATTTCTTAAGAAAATTTTGAGCACCTTATATTTGTGAAAGTAGACGAAAGAAAAAAAATCGTTAGTAGGCCCTACCCTCTCCTCGGGAACAGATTAATAAATCTCAGCATGAAAATTAAATGCAAATAAGATATAAATTATATTTCGATATAATTTGCAAATAATTATGAAATAAGTTCCACAGTCATAACCCCTACTGTGTTTAAAACACATGAAAATAATGATTCCCAAAAATCAAATTTTTAAACATCTTTTCTCAAAGTTTCGATCTCTACATTATTACATTTTGATCCCTTCATTATTTTTGGTACCCTCACTCAAAATAAAGTACAATGGGTAGTGCCATACTCAAGGAAAGGGAGCAAACTAACTATATTTTTTTGTTTAGTTTTCTTTTTGGTAATATTTACGTGTGAAGTATTATTATTATTAATATTATGATTATTATTATTGAAAAAACGTTTATAATGAATGTTTATACGTATGTAATGAAATGAAGTATTCTAATACTGCAGCGAAAACTAGCAAACTTTTCTACAAAAAAACTCGTACTGTGGTATGTACTCGTACCTGATAGCAAAAAAATAGATAATGTTTGGTAATGTCAGTAGTAAATGAGATCTTAGTTCCCTACGGTCACCTACAATTTCCTAAATGTGAGTTCGTTTCCTTTAGTAGTCGCTATGTGATTCGCGAATTTTCAGTATACTCAGAACTTTGATTGGTATTTTTAAAAACTATTTCCCTAACAAATTTAAGTCTTATAAAAAAGCTATTGAGGAATTTAATAAATTACGTAAATTGTATTAAATTGATAACAAAGGTACCAAATTCACTGCATCGCGATTTTATATTTGTATTGTTAACCTATATGGATGTTGAGGTTCTTTAATGAAAAATAAAATATCAAATATTCCCTAAAATTCAAATCAATCCAAAAATCCATTTATTTCCCACGATTTTTCATATTTTTTATTAATCCTGATCGGGAACGAATAGGTTATAAGACAAAACTAGGTATAAATAAAATTAATATTATAAAAGTAAAATCGCCACAATGATTGGCACTTCAACACAGTTCAAGTAAGAGACTTTCTCATTTCGCACCACGGAGTGCAGAAGGGGAAAATGTCATAAAGTCAAACGGTGACCGAGCAGCGCATGCAAAATCTGCAATCCAAAAATCAATGCGATTTACATATGTAAACCTCACGTTAAAAGTCGAGCAAACACGCCCAGTCAGGGGTTAACTGCATTACAGCTGCCAGGGTGTGGAGTTCCAACAGAGTTCCTTTTAGCTACTCAGGAAATCTGGGTGAGCGTGGGGAACAAAATGGCTGCAAAGCTCGAAACGTCGAGGGTCAAAGACCACGTGCCTTAGTAGAAGGGCGAAAGGCAGCGTGCAAAGTAAAACTGGAGGATCATCACTAGGGAATGGAATTAATTAAAAAAAAGACAAAATATATGCATAAGTTTACATATAACTTATTTTACCGAAATATGAAATAAAAACAAAATATTAATATAAAAAATCATTTTTTTAAAATTTATTGTCTCATTGACTTCATAGGTCATTAGCGACTCAAAACTGGTTCATTGATTTAAAAATAGTAAATACATAGCTGTAAATTAATATAGACAACAGATAATGGTGCAATACTTAGATTTAACAGATGTTGATCTCATTTAACATAATGTTTGACCTTAATAAATTGCTTGGTCAATTTTGGTAGGTATTCACATATTCGTTATATTGTTTACAATGGACTCATACAACCATCTTCAAATGTTTTAACACAAAACGTCGCCGAACCGGTCTTAAAATAAATTTGGCACGACTGAAAGAATATTCTACTTCAACAGATGTAACTTCACTTTAGTCTTCACCATACAATACGAGTTTTATCCGAAATATAAAAGTGCTTTACGAGAAGCCTGTGCTGATGTGAACAGTTGAATCGTGCAGACAGTGAAGGATCCCGAAGAGAGGGGAGGGTTAAAGGGATCATGCACATACTCCTAATCTAACTATGTGATAAGACAATAAACTGAAAAAGTGTTTTTCTGTGAAACATGAGCGATCACATGGTGTGCAAATATGCTCGGTTAATTCATGTTATTTAGGTGACTAATAAAATCGTAACTATTGGTTAGTCATACTGGGCACGACAATAGTTAAGGTCACTATTCCCGTAAGTGTAGTGCATATTTATCATCGGGAGGTGGCGTGATCTTCCTCCTCTGAGTGGTGAGAACTGGCGCCGAACTACCGCCGGCTAACGGGGTTTTCCCTAATCAGGTATCTCCCACCAACGTGGCCAGTATCTCCCGCTTTCAGACTGTTCAAGCTCTAAGTCTCCCGACAGCTCTCTCGGCATGTTTAGGAGTGTAGTGCATGCAACTGTTAATGTGTGTAAGAGATAGGATAGGGAAGGATATGACAAGGAAGAGAAAGGGAAGATCGCGCGCGGCCCCAGGCCCGTTTGTCAGGGTACTGCTCAAGTATTTGCCTGGTATTATTAGGAGAAACCAAGGAAAACTACCAATCAGAGCATTCGGCTGCTAGAACTCTCCCCCATTGAGGGACTCAATTCGACCTAACTATTTAGTTCGTGTCGGAAACTCTGCCACTGTAGGGACTGGAACGTAAATCGCCGGTCTGAGGCAGGTGTTGTAACTTTGGCAAACTATATATTACTCCCTTGATTTCTCGGACGTTGTGTACGGCCTATGCTCACCGCGCCGTCTGCTCTCCGTTGCAGTGCCCGAGAAGAGCTTGGAAGTGACGCAGACGAAGAACGACAACGCGGCGGTGAACGTCACGTGTTCCGCCGAAGGCGTCTACCCGGAGCCAGTCATCGTCATCCAGCGCCAGGAGAGGTGAGCGAACGCGAGACAACGCCTCACACACACACCAATCTCACTAACACATTTGATGACAGTACTATTGGATCCAGCAATGCTTCCTTATTGCACTTCACACGCTACTGGACACGTGATTGTTAATCAAATTTTACGCTACGCTCTATAAAAAAAATTAATGAAAAATTCTCGCGAGGAGTATGGAATTGTTCTGTCGTAGCTTGGATATGGTTGTCGAGTATCCTGTTGTGAAAACGTTCTCCTTCAAGTTTGGGCTTGTGTTCGCAATGACACTGTCTTGAAGACATTTGACTTACTTGTTCGATATAACGTTTGTGTATTAATTCCGGCCGATATTTCACAATGGAAAGGTCGAACATGCAGCGAATACTTTAGGGTGCAGCGGGCGGCATAGAGCTTCTGTTCAAGAGTGCTTAAGTCAGCATAAACACATAAAATCATTAACGCGCTCGTATGTGCGACACACTTTTGTACTTTTACATTTTACTATGCCTATATTATTTGCGCATGTGCAAGTGATATGTTGATAAAGTTTTATCGCAATCGGATGAACGATACGGTTGCTCATAAAATACGAAGAAACAAACATTGATTTTGTATATTAGATAATTTGTTTATAGTCTATATGTATTAAAATACAAGACCTTAAAACTACACAAATTAAACTCTACAAATAAATGGCAGTATCCATGCTAAATTATAAATACGAAAACTAGACAAAAATAAAACAGACAGTAAAATACAGAAAGCGCCAAAATAAATTCTTACGTTCAGTGCGGGTTAAAATATCTAAGATAGAAAATGTAATGGTAACATCAGAACCGAAAAAATATATTCAGTCACGACAACACGACCATATTCAATGTATGAGCCCAAACAGAATACCAACAATAATATACCAATATCACCCCAAAGGAAGAAGACATGTTGGCCATCCGTTACGAAGACGGAGCGACACATTACATGAGAGGTGAAAACAAACTTTAAGACCTAAATCTAAAAAGCAGAATAAGGGAAAGTACATGTATGAAATAATGAAATTATGAGTCCAACATTTTAACAACCTCTGATGGTAATGATTTCATAGTTTCTAAGGTAGAGAGAATATTAGCAGGAAGAAAGCAATTTTGGATTTGATTTTCAAGTTTTTGCCATTACTACTGGAATACCCGTTATCAACGATGTTATTTAAACGCTTCTTTTCTGCACTGAACAATGGAAGAGATTAGTAAAAGAAGCATTTGGTTATGGGACAAAATTAAATCTTTCAACTCTTGCTAATGTAAGAATGTATCTATAAAAATCAATTACGGAAATTACACACTCAAGCATTTTTAACTTAAAATTTTCTCTCGGCATTTCTTTTACGTGTGTGTTCAACAGAAGTTGTGTATGTTTAGTTATGGATGTACACTATGTAATTAATTTAGTTCTATTAGAATATCATCAAATATATTATTATTAATATTATTATTATTATTATTATTATTATTATTATTATTAGTATATATTTACTGCTTTGTTTCAATGCGTGTTCTACTTTTGTAAGGTCACAAAATCACCACATATTATATATCTATAACTCATTCATAATTTATACAATACTATTTTCTATAATGTAAACGTGATAAGAGATACAATTTATAATTTATGGTTTTAATTAATTTTCAAATTTACCCACACCGTGTGGTAAAGTCGCTAGCGTTAATACTGGTACTTCATTCCATATTTCGATTGAGGTGAACGAAATAAAATTTTTCAATATCTGTTTTTGCTGCCTTTCCTAAATTTATCTCAATCAGTTACGATCAAAAGCCATGGTAACTTAATGTGTAAAATGTCATTTTCTTAGAACTTGCTTCAAAACTTTTACCAATTACGTTACTTCAACATTTTCGTGTTTATTTAAGGAGTTAGCCATTAATTGGCTGGTAGAAGGTACGATTTATCTCCCTGTACTTTTTGACAAAAATAAATATGTAACCACTGTTACTATTGAGTTTTTACAACTGCACTTTACATACACCTTTTATAAATTCCATTTTAATAGTTCAATTGGTAATCGTTATTTTCGCCAACAAGTCTTTCAGAGGATCTTTACAAGCGTCTGTACTTTCCACGTCACACACCGTGCTGCGCGACCAGTTCCCGATGGTAATTCTCAACTCAAAGCAACTCGCAGAAGGCAGTAGCAGCAGCCGCCTCGCGGAAAACAGGAATAGCCGATATGAAAGAGGGAAAAACTTTCTTCCAACACTTGCACGCAATTTCACCCGAACAGCCTGGCGAATCGCGAACGACTTTCCCAAGTAGTCCCATCTCGTCCCCACTCCCCTTCATCCCCCTTCTGCCTCGGCGCTCCTTTCTACTTTAGCATTCATAGGATGGACTTGCAAAAATTAACACGAGAGGAACTCTTTTAATCAGGGGCAAAGATTATCCATTAAAGCGGTTCTAACAGACGAACGTATATATTTTTTTATTCCAATAAATCTGAATTTTAAATCTGGGGGTATGAAAGTAATGAAGGTCGTTCGTTCACTGAAGAACAAGATATTTTGTTCGTGAGGGTTTTTCACGAAAAACGGCAGCATTACGTCATTTTTCTTTTGCATTACACCATCTTATTTAACTATTTTGGTATTGTATAGGAAAGGGCTGATTATGATTGCATTGCATAGTTTGAATTACAATGGATAAAAGAAAATATGAAATGTAATAAAAATGCAATTGGTTCAATGTCTTTATAGATAAAAGAAATAAATGCTAAAAAATATGGAAGATTGTTGTGCCTTTAAACATTTTACTTCCTTTTGTATGCAATATACTTTTATTGTATTTTTCATGTTTTAAAAAATATCTAGTTACTCAAAGGAAAATATTTAGCCACGATCTGGCTCTTTATATGGCTTACACATAACACATTTTCCATTTTTGAATGAAAAACAAAAATCTGGAAAAGTGTTCAAATGTGCACGATACTCTTGTGACATTAAACGTCACCTTTCGTTCCAATGAATATAGTTTTCAATGAATTGAAAGAAAAACTAAGAAAATTATTTTCTTCGGGTAGTTAGGGTCTGTCTTCTTCAGGTCTGTCGTAAGGTACGTTTTAATGGTGTTTGTGAGTTTCAAGTTTCAGATTCACGAACGTCAAATATTTCCTCATAATAGAACACAATTTCAGCAAGACGTTTTACGTACATAATTTGATGTTACATGATCAACTACGTTACCAACACTTACATTTTCTTAAATGTAATAGTCATTGATTGTCTGCATTAAAACTGAAAATTCTCGAAGTCACCGACTTCAAAATTATTACATTTGCATTTCATTATAATTTCATCACCATAAAAAAAATCAGTTCCCATTTCATCATTTTCATTGTTGTTATCTTGGGGTATCATAAAATCATATCCGATGTAAATAATTATAGAAAAAACCCTCAGAATATTATAGACAATCTGCGGGTAATGTCAAATTTGGTCAGTTTCTCCAATCATAAAGTCTCCAAAATAAAAACTACCACAAAAAGAACTTTTCGATGAAGAACAACAAAAGAATTCTGGAAGAATTAAATGGCTACTTAAAAGCATACGGCACTCTCTAGGTTCACTTGATAAACTAGCGTGAATAACACAACCAAAACGTAACTGACATGGATTAAAATATAAAGTGTTTTAAGATATACTCTAACAAAGGTAAGGTACAACAGTTTACCCCGAAAGCTCCCTCAGAATAAATGTTACAAACGTCTAGAACCCAAAGGGGACCCAACGATAATACTTTTCTCATAAATATCATGTAAGAAAATTATACACATGATAATCTCCCTGCTTTGTATGCAAATCGTCTAGCACTGGCATTTGGCAAATTTATCTTTGACAAAATATCTTTGACTGCGTAAAAATCTGACCCACCGACGACCACTGCATAATGAGATGCATGATAATTAGAGAAAATGTCACATGTGAAACTTCTTTAAACTTATATGAAGCTTTACCAAAAATTATCATCTTCCCCTCTTCACATCCTAGAAATTTGGAACATTTATCCTCCGGCATTTCCTATACATGTTTGTACTATCTAATGTTCGAATTGACATGATCTCCAGTCATGAGCAAATACATTACGTTGTCAGAAATAATACAATAAATCCACAACTTTATTCAGATTAAAGAAGTAAGTTAATTTCAAATTAGACCTTTATTTTAATACTAGTAAAATGTAGCGTCGCCAAAGTGCAAACTGTTTCAAAAATAGTTTCATGTGTTGAAAATGTGTTTTATACTTCATTTATTTCGGTTTGATATACTCACGTTCAAAAGTTACCAACACACAATGACATTTTATCTTACCTCCATACGGGATATGAACTGATCTTACTGCAATTTCAAATTTATAAATGCCGTAACAATTACTTCCAGGTTTTGACGCTAACAGTTAAATTTTAGTACAGGTACGTTTTTACGCTTGTTTGCTAATATGCACAAAAATGTACATAAAGTATTTGCATTAGCACAAATGCTACATGCAAAAATGCAGAACGTTCAAAATTATTACCGAAAATTCTGTCTCAACATCTTTTACAACTACATTTGATTTTTTCCCGGATTTTCTTTGGACTTCCATATTTTTCTCTCCTAACTATTGAAGAGATTAAGACTTCACAACCTCAGCCTATTTTGTGTTTTCTACTTCTGCAATTGCTCTATTAATTGTTTTGTATGCGAATCTAGCGTTGAATGTGACTTTAAAATTTAAAAGCCTATTGCTTCGTATGTTTATGTGAATAAGTTATTAGTTAAGTTTAATAAGAATACGTAGTGGGTCACATTCATTTGAAAATCGATATTACGTAAGCACGGAAAAGTGCGAAGTAGAACAAAAAAAACGTTCACTCATTCTCTAGCATTACTCACAGTTTTGTTTTCTCCATATTCACATGCAATTCTTCAAGTTTAATCCGTTCCGAGGTAATATAGTTCGTAGGTTTTGGTAAATCTATTTTTTTTAAGTTCGATAATTTGAATCTAAATTGATATCAGAGTGTAGCGCAATTTACTTGGTAATTCACTCAAAGATGTCAACATCAGTCTTGCCATTGTTGTGAAAGAAAATTATGGCGTGCTAAGTTAATAATGTCTTTGGGTGCTGGTGTTCAATCATACTACCTACATAGATCGATTTAGGAGCCGTTTGTTTAGTTCCCGGCATTATCACTATGATTGCAGCACCAAAACATGAAAAAACACGTTCTTGGAAATTTATTTGAATATTGTGACCAGATCCGAAAACAAATTCTCAATTCCACATCACGAGACCGATACGCGTCGAAGGTATCTCATACGTCTCGATTGGTGTACAGGAAGTGGTCAAACCGCGAGTGACGGAATCGCACACAGCCGCACACCTGCACCTATGTATTTTAATAACTGGATATAATACGGAATTATTAGGAGTAATTTTGCCTATAGTTTGAATAGTTTCTTCTCAAGACGACGCTTACTAAACCAAGACTTTTGGAAGTCTCTTTGCACATTTGTGCAGTAGATGTGTCAAACCCTTAAAAACACATATTCGTGGGTTCACACAACGTGAGAAGACGGGAATTTTCGTTCAACTCGAAATTAAAAACGCAGCTTCTTCTCGACATACAGGGATATATAGCCTGCTTTACTGCTCAGAAGTGAAAACGTAAGTCACAAACGGCGGTGAAATAAAGAAAAGCGCCAACTCTGAAACTACATGTTCGTGGCAATATCCAAAGGAAAAAATGTCTCTGCGATGGAAGCCATCTGTTGATACTCAGGGGGAACGCGTTCATAATTTGTCTTCTTGGGGTACATCTATACACCGCATATTGCACCCAGCGCAGCCATTTCAATACTCAGCGAGCACACAACGGCATCTGCTATTTATGGCTTTGGGAGTTTTATGTTCTGGAAAAATAACTGAGGCCACAAAATGGGAAAGGGAGAAGGAAAACAGAATATGTCACTGATGTTGAAAAAGGAAGTTCCCCTTCATTCTTTAAACACAGTTCTCTTCCTGATAGATGATCTTATAATTCTTACAGAAAACAAGGCTATTGGGTAAGCAACTGTATGAAAAGCTATTTTAGAAATAAGAAATGTATGATGTTGTATTACAATTCGAGATTGTAGCATTTTCAATGGAGACAGATAGTATGATGCGAATATTGAATGGTTTATCAATAAAAAATTCATTTACACTACTTTTCGATAAATTTCGCTATTTATCATTAGAAAGAGGCGAGACAGATGTGAACAGTACTTAATAGGATCTCACTTGGGAGTTAATAACGACATTGCGGTCAAGTACTTCTATTAAGAAATTGAAAATTGATGTTAATTATGAGACATGGGTTATGAGCATCTCGTGTTATAATATCGTTCATTAGTACATCGATCTCTGTTTTGTAACGTTTAACTTCAATAAATCGATGCATATAAACGTTTTGTTTGACTCACTAACGTAAGTTTTATATTAGTCAATAATAAGGCTGAAGAGTTTCGTTACATAAATAAATCCACCATTGGAAGTCATAAAGAAGACATCATTAAAACACTATAAAGCAATCTCAATTAGCACTCTGTTTTGCAGTTTCTGAAAGTTGTGTAACCAGAACACAGCATACGAGGCTAATAAAATACAGTTCCTTATAAGTAGCGGAATTCATAAGATTTCAAATATAAAAAAAAGTCTATAATGAGCAGGAGGATCGATTAGATTGAACTGATATGCCCAATTGCTAAAATGCTATGCATTTAGACTGTAGTAATGTATGTGATAGAAGGTTATAATATATTTTGAAACGCTTATTTCCTAGGACAGGTTCCGCTTTATTTTAACACCCCAGTCGGCGCTATACCAGAGTGACATATGAATAAGCGCAATGCATCTGACAGATACACATTCTTTCTCGACTCACATAAGGTGCGAAATATTGAGAAATAATATGTTATCAGAAATTTTAACCGATTCATTTCGAATTGCACAAGTCAAAATATTTCTAAGAAGCTTCGTTTGGATTTTTCTCAACCTGTACAATGCCTTTTAACACAGAAAGGCAAACTCTTCTCTTTCAGTATGTAGGAGGACTTTTATTACGTGTCTAACAACCTACTAATTCAATTTTTGGCACCATTGTTATGAGTATATCTTTGAGATTCAATTACATCGTTCACAAAGTGTAACGTGTGACGTACGTAAGCGCGGTGTTTCTAGCGTATTCAAAATACTTCATTATATATGTACATTTTTATATAAATATTTCATTTATTACATAGCAAGTTGTCAGTACAAAGAAATGAAGTTACGACCCAAAGTGGCACAGACGAAACCGCTTATCCTACTTTGAAATATATATTTTTAAGAATGTTGTCCACTGGATGGCCGAGATCCTTAGCCAGTGATCTACGACCGATGTATCGCGGGTTCGAGTTCCGCCTTGGGCATGGTTGTATTTGTGTTCGTTCTTTCACAGCCAATCATCTTCATATATTGTCATCTTCACAGTTACTATACCGCTGAATGCATTTGTGGTCGCTATTGACCTAGATGTTTATGCGACGTGTACGTAAGCTTCCGCGGCTCGAATCCATGAATTCTCGGCTATCCGGGAGACGCCGCGTCGTTGGCTGGGGTGGCACCCCAGCCAACGACGCGGCGTCTCCCGGATAGCCGAGAATTCATAGATGTTTACGCGACCTTAATTAACAAAAACAAACAAACTGACTTTCTGTTGCAGACCCGACTCTCCGGAAGAGGCGCTCGTCCAACAAATTCGCAACGATGAAGGCCTCTACGACATCTACGCTTCTATAGTGCTCGAGGATAAAGTTCTAGAATCGCCAACCACATTCTTCTGCGAGCTGACGATTCCGGAAGCAAACTATACCGCAAAAACGTCCTCCATCTACATGCCCGGTAAGTACCTGAACTCAATTTCTCATTTTTTTTAACTGTGGAAAGTAATGTCATAGGGCTGCGATGCAAAAATCTTTTTATTTGATTATTATTTTTACAGCTATTAAAAGAGTTATTCTTTTTTGTTATTTGTTTAATTAATTCACGAACGTGTAAACATGTTTACTCGTTCAATTAGAGTAATACTACATTATACTACAATTACTACATACTACATTCAACCTCAATTAGAGTAATACTACATTTTACGAAAAAATGTATAATTTCTATGTTGTTTGTTTTTTATTTCCAATAAGAATTTTTTTTGGATATAAAAGATTTTTTAATTGTAAAAATCGAAATATTCCATTCAAATCGAAGATATCAAATTGCAATTTGGTATATATTCGGCCCACAACTATGTGCATATCAATTTGCTAAATAACGGGTTGTTCGATGTAACAATCATTGCATTCTATACAAATCACATTCGCAAGTTAATTTTAGATAACGTAACTGAGTATAAAATTTGATATTTACATACACAAGAATATTATTTCGATGCTCAATATGACAGAAAAAGAATTTGAAATAAATCGATTTATTTACATTGCAATAGCAAAACTTTGGAAAACTTGATTTTCAGTTACAGTGAATGATCGGTTACAAAAGGTGTGTAGTAAATATGTTGTAAGTTACCAGTTTCGAAGGAAAAAACAAATTCAAAGGATTGCAATAATTATATGTGGCAAATAATTATATGTGTTATTAAGTTGGCATCAACACAATACCTACTTTTCTATTTGACAACACTGACACAGGGAGAAGACTCATGCAAAAAAGTCTTATATTGCCGTATCAATCAAATATCGTAATACATTTTACTTTATTCAAACCACTACGATCATTTCAGAAAATACATGAAAAAACGTTTACTTTTGTTGCAAACTTACCACTTGTAATTGTTTGAACATCGCAAAAGTGAAATATTTTCCCGTTTACTAAAAAAAACAGTCAACGCACATTAAGATGTTTTGATTAAAATTCTCATTAAATAAGAAATTCTATTGGAAGACGTTGGAGCTTCATTAGGATGCGAATATTGAGAGCAGCTTGAAGTCAGTTAAAGAGAATCTGTGTTTTGCTTGGGAGTTACGAAGTCAGAAAAGGTGGAAGAATCAAGAAAAGGAATTTCTTTAATTTATAAAAAATAACAAGCAGTTCACATCAAAAGGAGTGAGAAAGGACACCGCGTTCTTTCGTTTAGAAGACTCCTCGTTTCATCGCTGTTGTCATTGTCAAGACTTTAAGAACTAGAAACAAATTGTTTATCACGAAAATACTTGCATCCATATATGAAAATGATGTGTTTACTGAAGAATGTTAATTTAAAAAATGTTTCCAACATACGAGTATCTCTAAGCATTATCAACTCTATTTATGTGTTTGTAAAAGTCTGTTTTAGGTTTAAAGACGAACACTTTCGATACAGATTTTCGTATCGACTACAGTGAGCTAATTACCCTGCACATTTGTTTTCCGTGTGCGATTGTGCAGATATTTCCCATCTGCATTCATGTAATTCAAAACCTACCACTGAATCTGTTTCAGCTCACAATAGCAGGATTTTAATTAACCGTAATTGCTCATCGCCGTGCGAATAGCAAACAAGAAGCAAATTTTGATAACGCATATGACAAATTCTCAAAGAGTATTAGAGAAAAATGTTTTGTAAACCATTTTGCTCGGTAAATAAACTCAATATTTGCGTTCAAAACCTTTAAAATTCTCTGTATATTTGAATTCCTTTAAATGTACCATTTATTTAGGGGTGAAATGAAATAATTACAGTTCAGAAAAAAATTACGAAGAAATTAATTTTACCAAAAAAAGACTACAGTGTATTTAAAGTTAAAACCTGTAGCAATTAGAAAAATGATTTTTTTCAGTTTTGTAATGGTGTGATGGGTTGATCTCAGATATATTTATAAACAAGAATGTTTTGATATTAGTCATAATATTGACTGAATGGAATTTGGAAAGATGCATAATACTTATGTACTACGTGTGCATTATTGTACCGTTGAATAGTAACCTTGATTATTTCGGTGAATTTACATACTATCATGTAGTACATTACTTTAAAGTACTAGTAAATGATTTAATCGATCAGTGAATTGGTTCAGGGTGAATTCGCAATTGGGAGGCCTGGGTTCAATCCCCTTGGCGGCCATCCTGACCGAGATTTTCTTGGTTTCCCGAGGTCATCCAGGCGAGTGCTAGCATTGTTATACTGAAAGCCACGGCCAGATGTCCAACGTCGTTAGTCAAATTAGTTAACTACGCGAAGTCACGATGGATAAGCGAATTCGAGGCATCGTAAGTTCCTGGTTGGGTGACCGAATAGGAGCACCGGGATCTAACGGCTCTGAGACCAATTGCCCTGTGTAATGCCTTTCTTGAATCACTAGACATTTAATTCTTGAATAAAAATTGTTTAATCGGAGTTCTCTTGTGAATGTCAATGAAAAATATTCTAAAATCTAGAAAGAATTACAAGCCGAAACTTCACAATTTTGTAAGGCCCTCAAAATTGTGAGTACCAAATAACCCCGACATATTCATAGCCCTTTCATACCAAACGAAAGATAGTGTTTTTTTCAAATGTGAGTATTATGTGAAACTACACATGGCTAATAAAACTTAAGCTCTTTGGCTGTGAACCGAAAATTATAATACTTAAGTACAAGTCAAATAAAATTAAATGAATTAGAAAATGAATGTGAAAAAAAATGGAAGAATCCGTTAAAATGATTTGATATTGGTACATATCGCGTACTAAATCGAAGGAGTAGTAAATATCAACAAGGAAGGAATAGTATATATCGAGCTCATTCAAATATATTCAACATTACCATTGTTTGTGAACTTTATATTTTTTGAAAACTGTGTTAGTGTCCGACTTTAATTGTCATAGCCTAACTTTCTTATATTTAATATAACAAATTAGACATTTTTTTCTTTCTTGATTATTAGAAGCTATATTTTTATAATCATTTTTGATTTGCGGCGCAGAACATTCGAAATGCTGGAAGGAAATGGGTAATTAGCAAAGTCTTGGTTGTTTTCTCGTTGGCAGGCGACGCGCGGACTTCTGAAGAAACTGCAGGGTAGAAGTTGGCGACTGCGACGTTCTTTCTTTCCGCCGGTTGCCAGGCAACCGACCGCGCGGAGAATCTTTTCTAATTGGACGGGAATCCACAATGAGGATTAGCATCTTCAAGGGAAAGCCTCGGGCCGTATACCGTGAAGTTGGAGACAGATTATTACCTTTGGAGATGCATCTTCACGCTTAGTTTCTCGACGAGGAAGACACAATTGTTTTTCTGCTTATACGTTCGCATTTTATCGACTTCGGTTGAATTTTAATATTATGTTTAGTTTATGTTGGGTTTATTGATATATAATTTACATTTCCGAGTGTTCTAGCTGTGAAAACAAAGGAATAAAAATATGATTCAACGCCTATAGAAGGCTGCAATTATAGAAGGAATTATAGATGGATTACGATCAAATCAATTTTAAAAAAAATTTACAAAGCTAAGAACCATATTGAAAAGACGAGCATTACCAAATACTTTTCCGAATGCAATGTTTACGAGTATAAGATATATTTAACACTTCAAATTATTTTTTAATTATTTAATTGCGTTTAAATTCAACAAAATAGCAAATTTAAACTTCATCAATATATCAGTACGTTAATTCCGACAATTGAGTTTCAAAAACAGAGAATATCATTTTTGTAACTTGACTTGCAGTAAGACTATCAGAGAAATGTAATGAAAGCTAATGACATCGAAGTATACCAGAGTGGTGTGTTCAAGTTTACAGGAGAGCATCCCTGGATCCACGCAACCCGCACAACAGCAACACGTTCAGCGATAATGTTGCCTAAGGGTAGCCTTCGCAGAGATGCATAAACTCTGTCCCTAACGATCACGCATTATTACCAATGCTATCATCTCATCAATTTTCATAGAAACAATCATTTTTAACAACAACAACAACAACAACAACAACAACAACAACAACAACAATAATAATAATAATAATAATAATAATAATAATAATAATAATAATAATAATAAATAATAGTGCTGATGATAATAATAAAAACAAAAATCAAAAATCATTTCTAGTCATTAATTCAAATAAATCCCCTCCTTTTTCTTCCTTTTACTAATGGGAAACCCTTTTATTTCAGTGTAATGTTTAGATTTCATTTAGACCGAATGCACCATTTTGTAATACAAGTCTCGCCAAGCGAATGAAATGACACCGAAAAATATAAAGCATGCAGTATTTTGAAACGCTCCGATATCATTTTCCAATATGCGATGCAAATGGGGAAGTTATACGCTGTTGGAGTCAGGTAGGAGAGCCACACTGCACGCGAGTGAAAACCTGTCGAAAACTGCTTCGTTTTTGAGCGGGAGTTGATGTGCGGATGTCACTCCCTCTCTCCCCAAACTCATTCTCTCTCTCGCTCTCTCGTCCACCTGCGCCTACCGTCACCTGTCTCTCCATTTGCTACATTGCTGCATCCAACGCGTTGCTCCCCTCGTGGAAGCTTGAACCTGTCCACCACCTGTTTCCTGTTCAGCAATCTATTTTCCGAGTTTCAGTATTTTATTTTTGTTGTTGAAGTATGAACTTTTTAGACATTCCTGCACAAAAGTAACTACATTGTGCAATTAACAACATTTTATAATAGTTTAAAGATATATACTTACATCTGTGTTGGGTTTTATGTGGAAGTTTATACAAATTTTGAGCACGTGAAAACTGATCATCAATAAACGTTATGTACACCATTTTAGTGAGAATGGGTAACTTAGTGTACACAGTTTTTTGAGAACCAAATTCCTCTCAGACAGGTTTCAATTACGAAATATCCTTTAATATAATAAAACTAATAATGACAATGCAGTTTTTACACTTTTGTTAGAACCTCCAAATTGCATGAAACACACATTCTCAGGGTCTATGTTTATCTCAAACGTCTTGAGACTTTTTAATTCCCAATCCAGGTGGATCCAACCATCTCAATTACGATTGAGATTCT